CCGGGCCAACCAAGCCTTCCATCCCTCCGGGGTCGGTTAATTGGTACCAGACTTGTCTGGGAGGATAAAAACACTGACTTGTACATCGGCTGGCCCCCGCAAGTCATTGTATAGGCCACATCGCATTCAAACGCCACTACGAATGTACAAATGGAAGTAGAATGCGTGCCGCATCCCAAAAGGGATTGATCAACGGCAAATGCTTTATCCTTTATCATTTATGCTTCTGATAAATACCGGTCGGTGAATTGTGGAAGTACTACTGAGTTCTTTCTACATTTTGGCCTGCAACGGCCCCAAGAAATGACCAGAGGTATGGGCATCCTTGCCTAGACTTAGGGTGGGGAAGCACCAGGGTGGATGACCAAGTGAAAGTGAAAAAAATGGATGGGATGTGGCAGGACGTATGGAATGTAGAGCACTAACCGCTCCTTATCAGAAGTGCACTCAAATTCGCCATTTACGTATTATTTAGTCCTTACGGTTAGCTTGGGGAGGGGCGAGCAAGGCGTGCTTTCTTGTTATAACGAGAAAATAACGAGGGAAAAGATAACAAGAGATAAAGAGAGATATATACCCCCCCAACGCCATCCACCCCACGTGATACCCATAACCCAGGTAAGGCAATGCAATGTTTACAACAAGAGTTAGCCGCATTGGTAGCCAGACATTGCCTCCAAGAAAGGGCCCCAAATGATATGAAATTGAGTCATGTGGGGACTTTGAAACGGATATGAATGAAATGAAGAGATGGCGAGGAAGAGCGAACGGCTCTCTAATGTGACGTCAATTTGCGAGAGAAGAATGTAGCAAGGAGATGTTTCCAAGCAGCCAAATGGCCGCCTTTCTGCGACGCACACGTCCGAGTGTTTTTTGCAAGCATGCAATGTGTAAAGTATGGAGGCAAGTGCAACGAAACTGTTGTCGCAACGAAATTGAATCGTCTTTTTTCCTCTTATCTCCAGTGTTTCACGAATTATTCTTCCGCAACCTGAACAAATATCTTACCTCTAATGGGCCATATATTACAGTAGGTGGCTCGCCCCGCCCACAGATGTACGAGTTATTGGCGCGGAAGAAGTGTTCGGAACATAATAGTCAAATAAGCATTCACATGCATACGCAGGTCAACTACACATCGAGGTTGGAGACAAAGACAGTGAAAAGGTACAGGAAACTTATCAATTTGAATAGTTTTCCCACTGTAACAATCAGAACCTAAAGGCACACCCATCCTAACGGAAGATGTATAGAAGGATTCAAATATGGATTGTTAGCCGCCATGCACAAGTAAACACGTGTAAAGTGAACAGGCGCAAAGAAAAAGAAACCAAAGAAACAGTCGAAAACGTCCTCGGTGAAAGCGACCCTCTATGACACAGAA